CACTAGCCAACCGCCCAAACCCCCATCCGCCCACGCCTAAAAAATCGATTTTTAATCACACCTTTATTATAATTACAAATCCTTTAATATATTAACGTCCCATAGTATTTTCAATATCCTAATAACTATATATTTAATTTAGTCTTGTGGTGCGGCTAGAATCGCCTGTTAATGTCGAATTTTTTGATTTTTGGTATGCGGCCGCACCCAATAATTTTTAGTAAGCCGGCCGCATACCAAAAATCAAAAAATTCGACATTAACAGGCGATTCTAGCCGCACCACAAGACTAAATTAAATATATAGTTATTAGGATATTGAAAATACTATGGGACGTTAATATATTAAAGGATTTGTAATTATAATAAAGGTGTGATTAAAAATCGATTTTTTAGGCGTGGGCGGATGGGGGTTTGGGCGGTTGGCTAGTGGATACTTCTACTTTGGCTACCAGGATAGCATGTTCAGTTCTACAGTATCATCATTTCTTTCAATGCCTACCCTCTGAACGAGTTGCCAGTTCAGCAAGATTCCACAGCGTTTAGCTTACAATATGGCTTGCAAATCACAGCCACATCGGGAGGTTGACGTGGCGTTTTCAGCTGAGCCGCAAACCCCGCCAGCCAAATCTGCCTCACAAGGGTGCGAACCCTTCGAATTCTCTCGACTTCAATCCCGCATCGATGTCTCTCCACAGAGACCTTCTCCCTCTACGACAATAATAGCATCGACTTGAGCTGCTGATAAGTATTGCAGCGATAGCGACTCTACGACTACTGAGCTTGCCGATCAGGTCCGACGCATTCGTCCGCTTCCGCGCTATCAACAGACTTTCTCCACGAGCCTGCCACAGACAGACGTCTTTCAATACCGAGCTCTCCATCCGTCATCTAATTATCAGACTGAGATTATAGGCAGTAGAGTAGGGCAGAAGATAAGATGAGCTTTGGATTCAGCATCGGCGACTTCCTCGCCTTCATCGAGCTTACCAACAAGATCCGGAGGGAATTTATTAGTGCGCCGAGCCAGTTCAAGAACATCTCCGATGAGTAGGTTATCTAAGTATTTGACCGATAGTTGCTAACCTTAATTCACAGAGTCAGAAGCCTTTCGATCGTTATTTATGATGTCGACATTGTTATATCCGAGTGCGAGCCCGACGCAAAGCAGAAGACAGAGCTACAAGAAATTGCTAGTAGCTGCCACAAAATCCTCAGCGATTTGGAGAAAACACTCGATAAGTATGGCGAACTGCAGACCTATAGCGGAAACTTGGGCAAGAGAGTGAAGAGAGTTTGGAAGAAACTCGAATGGGAACCACAGGACATCCAAGAGATTCGAAATCGAATAACATCGAACGTCACATTGCTCAGTACATATATTGTACGGATACCCGGGTACTTATCCATCTCTCTCTTTAGCTAGGTGTCAAAAGCTGAATTAGAGCAGTCAAGCAGCCATTACGGCAAAGATGGGAGTGGATCGTCTCAATGAGCGGCAAGACGATCAAGAGCGACTCAGCATTCTCGACTGGCCCACTCCGATCACCACCAGCCGCTATAATTACTTCTTTCAAACACCAGAGATGACGAGTTTCGAATACAAGCCAATTGGCCTTGAAGGACCTGCCTTTCGCCTTCTTCGACTGCTCAAAGGCGACGACGACCCTATTCAGGGTCGGCTTTTTGACTCAAAGCTCCCCCCACCAGCCCCACCAGAATATGTCAGAGATTATGCGGCATTATCTTACACATGGGGTAGCAAATCCAGACCATGTGAAATAATAATTAATGGAAGTAAAATGACAGTTACCAAAAATGCATATCTTGCACTTCGGGATCTCCGTTACCAAGAAAAAGACCGGATTCTTTGGATTGATGCTCTTTGCATTAATCAAAATGATAATAAAGAACGAGGAGAGCAAGTCCAGCAGATGGGATCTATTTACAGCGAGGCTGAACGAGTAATTATCTGGTTAGGCGAAGCTACATATGATACAGATTATGTTATGCATTATATGGAGCAACTGGAGAAAGAGAGCACCAAACATGCCTCTAATGACCAGAAAATTTCAGACAAGCAGTGGGTGAATATCTGGTCAGCGGTGGTACACAATTTAATCGCTGACCAAAGAGACCTTCTGATTGAAGGCTTACGGTCGCTCCTTCGTCGAAATTGGTTTAAGAGAGTCTGGATTCTACAAGAAGTTGCCAACGCGCGAGTTGCCGAAATCGTTTGCGGTGGCAAATCTGTTTCGGCAAGCATCTTCGCTCTTACGCTATCTTTACTAGAGATCACCCCAGACCCGCACTGTCAACCTATCTTAGATATTATGCCAGGTCCTCTCCGGAATAGCTCTTGGTGGGCCAAAAAGCGGGATCTTTACACATTGCTAGTCAAATTCTGCGGAAGCGAAGCGACTGACCCACGAGATAGTATTTATGCCTTACTAGGCATATCTTCAGATGCATGCGATACTGATTTTCTGAGAGCAAACTATAAAAAGAATCTTCAAGATGTTATTTTCGATACTACCTTATTCTTACTCAACTTTAACAAGTTGAACTCTCCTATCTACCGTTCATTCGATTGGACGTTGCCAGAGTTTTTAGGAAACTTGGATTTTCTTGCCACCGAAGTACTTAAGTCCGCAGTGGATACGGAGAATGAGGTATTGGTAAGGCTGCTGATAGTGCGCGACGATGTCGATGTCAATATGAAAGTAAGCGGTCAAATGCTGCTGTCATGGGCTGCAAGGAATGGGCACGAGGCGGTGGTGAAGCTGCTACTGGAGAAAGGCGCTGTGCTGGAGACTGA